GATATTCTGAGCTGCGTTTTGGATTAGGAAGGATTACTTAGGTGAGATTGTAATATTAATTATCGTGCAGCCTAATCCTAAGGCACTTATGTCACGCCAGAATTCTGGCGTATAAATGCATTTCTTTCCGTACATCTGCAACAACCGCACTCGGCAAACTGGCTACTTTAGTAGCATGTCCATGTATAGTCAAATATATTTCATAGTAAACATGCGCAACAATATCCTTTCTGGTATCGTTTAGTAGCATGTCACGTCTTCCTCAAATTGCATACTGAAAATAAGGGCGTATTTAGGTTTTGAAAAGATTTTTAATCCCGAAAAATCTGGATCCTGTTCTGCCGTTGTTTCTGCGTTTATGTTTTTCAGTCCACAAGCTGTTTACTTCCTCTGTAAGGGAAACCACACATTCCTCTATGACATTCAGAAGATACCGGACAGCATTCAGACATGCACGGAGGGGAAGTGAGAGGACTAGTGATGTCATGGGATTAAGTCCATTATCTAAATGAACAGTTTATCTGATCTTACTAATGCGCAAAGACCGTATGCCATACCATACTCATACCATTTTGCATTGCTAGACGGTCAAACATGGTGCTGTCTGAATGGATAATCAAGGTCTTGGAAATTTCATAATTGCAACCTTTTTAAAGATGAAAGCTAAATTTCTTCGTGTAGAAAATTTAAAGAAGACTGATGTGTTACCAAATAAGTAGAAAAATGAAAAGATTTGGATGTGTTTTCTGTAAAATATATTTGAATATATAGGGGCGTCGAAAATCGATAGAGAAAATTCATACCCCCACTTTGCCAAATGCGGGAGAAAAGAGGCGCATTTAAACGCCTTCATCCTGACGTGACTGACATATCTTGGGATTATTCTGCACGAAGATCAACATTAGAATGTTAACCTAGGTAATCTTCCCTAATCAAAAACGCATTTCGGGATTTCAACCAACAGTTTATGAGACTAGTCACGAACTTTAGTTCCACCGCTTTTGGCAGAGGAATTGTCGATATTTGTCAGGTAGTGTGTAAGCGGACAAGAGATTAAAATTTTTATGATAGATGGGCGCTCACCGATCAGGTTACGGGACGTGCTCGTTCCGTCATCAGCCAGTCATACCCAACTTCAGGTGTGGATCACTTGAGATTCGAACCGGGGATCTCTGGTCATGGAGTTTGACACTACCATTAAGCAACGCGCCTGTTGTCCTTTCGGTCGTGTACGGCACTCACCAATCAGATTTCTATCGGTACTATCTCATTAAGTCTATTACTAGTCGCTGTGCGACTGCCTGTTAGGGTTCTAGTAGGAGCCCCAAGGCACAACGGAACGAGCATGCTCCGTAACCTGATCTTTGAGCGCCCATCCGTTATAATTCGTGTTCCTGATCACAACCGACAGGACAGCGGACCCGTGGCTCCATGCTTAAGTGTCAAACTCCATGACCAAGGATCCCGGGTTCGAATCACAAGTGCTTCACACCTGGGGGTTGGGTGTGACTGTCTGATTACGGCTAATAAGCAGGAAATGGCCATTTCCGTCTCCCTTGTCTTTGTCAGTACCATCTAATTCCAATTTTTCCCGTACTTCGAATAAGGATGAAGCATTCGCAAAGTATCCTAGTAGAGCAATTTTACAAAGATAACTTGTTAGGGAAAATTTTTTTAATGATCAAGAACATATTTCCCACAAGCTCCTATTGGGGACGCCCACTTTCTTCGGCTGCTGAGTTCCCAGTTTGAGTGGGTCTACAAATTTTGACATAATCGTAATTTGCGCTAAAAACGTCGGGGAATGTGCTACGTAAGCGAAAGTTTGCATTAACTGTCATATTTTGAGAGTTCTGACAACGATAAACTGCAGAAACCATTTTTTTTCGGGCAATCGACATAGGGCAGCAGAAACTGCAGAGTGTTAGCTGATAGGGCAAGGATGTCAGAATGTTCACTTAACATCATTGCTGTCCCCACCACCACCACCACCACCACCACCACCACCACCACCACCACCACCACCACCACCACCACCACCACCACCACCACCACCACCACCACCACCACCACCACCACTACCACCACCACCACCACCATGACCATCAAAACAGGCATACGGCAAAATCTGAAACTGTTCACCTCCAAATGCACCAACTTTGAAATAGTCATCAATACACAGAAAAAAGGTTAGTCTACACGAACCGGCGTCAGTTGTCAAGTGCGTTGACAGTCCGTGGCGCTCGCCTAACAGCGGTAGACCCAGTTCTGTTCGACGACAAGGTTACAACCAGAATTTCCTAAATCAGTCAGAACCTTGGCAAATTACAAAATCAGTCTAAAAACTCTGCGGTGTCCTCTACACCACCAACCTCGGGATCCACAGGATGGAAATCTGGACAGTCTACCAAAACAAGATGAGAAAGCTCAACCAGTTCCACCCAAACTACCTCCGATGGCTACTGAAGGCGAAGTAGCAGGAACATATCCATTACATCCAGATCTGCTGAAGTCCGCTGCGATGCTGAAGCAGATCCAACTGCCCTAGAGTGACCACATTTCGAGAGGATCTGACCGACTACTATTCTAGGCAACTATTCGAAGGTGACACCGCTACGGGCACTCAGATAATGTGAGCAAAGCAACACTACAAACGCAAACTGAGGGCCTTTCTCGTTCACATGAAAATGGCAACTAGTCGTCAAAACTGGAGCAGCTAACTTTAAAGACAACCGAATAAGGCAGGTCAGGACGAAACCACAGCCTGTAAGAATGGCTTGTTGCAGACCAACGTTGCAAACACCCACACCCTGCCAATGTGTCAACCTTCTCGGATGAAAGTCAGGACACCGATTGGCCTAGTTGCCTACCTTCGGATCTACTGCTATGTCAACACGACCACCCCCCCCCGCACACACATAAAATGTCACCACAATGGCCATTACTGACAGCACCCCTTCCTCACCACGTTTCAGTCCCGGTTCGTCTTTTCGGACACTCTTCAAATGGGCACGCGGTCAGGAAACAGGTGACAGCCGTTGGCAGTGCAGACAGACTGCCAACTTGCCCGCACATGTGAATACATCACAGTAGAACAGTAGAATCGGCGGCTGGAGACCCCACCAATTCCTGTTACTTCCGCTTCCCCTGTTCAGACCTTGCTTGCACTTTCAGTCGCCGCATGTGCCGTTCCGCTCGTACACACGAAAAACAATTCATTGCCCATCCGACCGGTCTGCTGTGAAGTTAATTAACATCGGTACTTACAGACGAGTTAACGTGTTAGTCTGTAGTTCTGTGTGTGTGGCATGCCGAAGAAGGCGGGCCATAGCGCGTGGATCAGTAATTTCTCCAGTCGCGAAAAACTCAGGTCAATGGAATAGGGGAAGAAGAAGAAGAAGACGAAGGAGAAGAAGGAGAAGAAGAAGAAGAGGAAGAATAAGACGAAGGGAAATCCAGTTCGGATCCAAGGCTTGCTTCCCCTAAAGTGAGCAGCTTGCATACGCTCTGAAAGTAGCACAGAGTGTTAACAGTCGTAAATCGGAAGGCTGTTAGTTGACGAGGTAAATAACTCAATCTTACCCAGGACTGACGGTCAGCCCGCGATGAATCCTTCGTAATGTGGCACTCTAACTGATGCAAAACGCGAGATCCCCTTCAGTCAGTCAGTGTATTTGAGGGAAATAGGCTTACGCCTTTGAACTCCCTATTTGCACATAAAAAATCGACAAAATAAGCAAAAATGTGAAGAATTTACAACATTAAGTGAATGCAAACATTGATTCACATAGGTCACTGGTCTCATGGCCAAAAAGTCACATAGTCCGCTTATTGCTGCAGCATATGTCTGTCAAGCCGACATTTAAATGTCTCCACAGATTGATACATGACAACCGTCTCGGGCAAGTTATTCCACGGTTCCACGACACGGTTGGAGAAGAACTACTTTTCACACATTCAATGTAACCTGGGGCACACGTAGCTTGAGAGGATGTCCCCGGAGGTTAGTTGTAGTGGCTAGTTGAAAAAAGTCGTCGCACCGAAGGGCGCAGTCCAAGCCATGCACGATGCGGAAAGTTTGTATCAAGTCTCCGCGCAACTGCCTATAGCTCAGAAGATAGAGATTAAGGTTAGTTAGGCGCATCTCGTATGGCAGTGCATCCTGACCTCTTATTAATTTTGTTGCTCGCCTCTGCACCCTTTCGAGCAGATTGTAATCCTGCTGCGTCCACGGTCTCCAGGCCTGAATTGCATATTCGAGATGCGGCTTTACAAACATGCCGAAGACTCTGGAGAAGCAGTGTTCATCGAAAACCGCGGATTTCCGCTTGATGGCATATAGCATTGAAGTTGCAGCCCCTTATAGATGGTTGCTGCGCGCTGAGTGGGGAACTGGCAGTCTTTGGCTGGTCTCGTGGTTAAAACACAGTGAGTCCTGGAGTTGGAAGTAAGGTAGGCGCCACGGAAGTCTGCTTCACTGCAAAGGAATTTACAAGCGAGTTCCACTACGCCCATCCCAGCAGTTGAACTACCCAAAAAGCTTAATGAGGCCGAGTATTGTTGATCGCTTGCCTAATCTACGCTCGTGGTTTCAACGGTATGATGCTCCCAGGTTAGCAAATGTAAGAGGTCTGGGTTGATAATCTGAGAAGTATGCAGAGCTCACCAGATCAGTGAAATCGAATGGCTGACGTTTTGGAGAGTTAAGCCGGCTCTCCGGTATCAAAGCGTTTTGTGCAAAAAATCGACCGAAATTTTGAACGAACGGCCGAATTAGTTGGCCTTGGGCCGATCGATTTTCCTTGTTCTTTCGCTGCCTTGTTCTCCTGGTCGTTGTCTGTGAATTTAGGCGGCCTCATGCGTCGTGTGTCGTCACCCCAATAGGGGTCGGTTACGCCTGTGCTCCCCTTTTAGATGAATTAGTTGACAGGCTGTATTTGTTTGGTATTTTTAGGCTCCGTGTGGCAGTCTTGTCCTCGTCATGGTGCATGTAATCACGTAGGACTTTATAGGCCGCAGGAGGGTCTAGATGCCTGTTGATGGAGTTGGCAATTGAGTGCCAGGCCTTAAGGGTGAGACGTCCTGTCTTTGAAATGCCCCGGCTTAAGACAGTTGCTCCTTGGAGGTCAAAATTGTGGCCAATTTCTCCGATGTCAGTCACAAGCTGTGAGTTCGGGTCTAGTCTCCGAGTTGCCAGTTTGTGCTCGTGTGAGCGGGTCTGCAGTTTCCGTCCGGTTTCCCAATTTTGTTGAAGTCTCCATCGTTACAACGTACATTACGTGACCTATCTCATGAAACCTGATAACGGAAATTGATACGAGAATTTCTCGATGTATTAAACGTTGTGCATTTTGCTTTGTCATCCATTTCATTCAATGAAATGCCATTTTCTTGTGCAGAAATAGCGTTTACGTAATTATATCAAACAAAGTATTAATAAACTTTAGCAAAAATTGGCGTTGCAATTCATCCGTGCAGTTTCCTATGCTAATACGAGTTCTAGACCCCGGTTGTGCATCTGAGCGAGTTTTTCACTGGAAGGAAAGTATTTTACCCGCGAGAGTTTCAATAAACCGATTTATCCGGACTTAAAAAGTTATTTTATGCTCCATGCTAACCGCGGTAATCGACTTGTTAACATAAAGGTTATTTTAAGAAACCCAGATGTTTTATCAATTCCTAAAAGTTATATTAGCATATCTGTACAATTTGATGCCCTGAAGTACAGTTATAGTGAAGACAAGGATTCCTATGTTTAAAAGGGCTGAAATTAGTTTGCCGTTTAGAAAATTTTACCTGATGTCACAAAAATGACCCCCACCGACTGGTCATTTACAGTTTTGATCAAATGAAACACTACTTGTCGTGTAGTTTAGTATCTGTGCGTACCTTATACAGAAATAAAACGAGCAAAGCATTAATCGTTTCAGCAAAATATCAATATTTTTATGGGCTCTCGCCGTATATTCATAATCAAAAAACTGAGTCCAAAAGCGAGTGAAAACAGAGCAAATGACCGCACCACATAGAAAATGGTTTGTTCTTCCGTTTGCGTTTGATAACTAGTGGTATTGTTTAGGAACGTTAAAGAAACGGAGAAAAGTGTCAATTTTTTTCTTGGCCTCAACGTGCAAAAGTGAAAAGTGCGCAGAGATCCGTCAACGGAGTGCAGTATTAAAGCACTTCTTAAAGAGATAACTTACTAGAGGAAGTTTTCTTATTGATCGAACGCATATTCGTTGCTGAATTTCGTTGTGGACAGCCATTTCTTTCGAAAATGAAGTTTGATGTTTGAATGTTTTTTCAGCTTTGACCCAAACGACCTTTGTGAAAAAGACCGCCAAAACACTCAGTAAGTCCGTAAATACCTTCAAAAATTATTTTATTTTAGAGTTTTTAATAGACAGGTAATTCAGGATCTGTCTTTATGGACGATCGGGTGAAAACACTGAAAATCATGAAGTAGTCAGCAATATTTCAAGGCCGATCTGAAATTCAACGTTATCCAAAACGAAGGAAAAGTGTAAATTAATTTAACGGAAGAAAGGTTCTCTCTAAAAACACAAAATGTTATGTTTACGATCACGCCTGTCAGCTCAATTTAAATTTATTAGGCACCGATCGGCCTGGTTGCATGTCGCCTTATAAAAGCTTTTGTTCCTACGAGGTCCCCATCGGTGAAATCAAGCTAAATCCAGCTTCTCTTGTTGAACCCCATCTCATATACTTCAAACGAGTCAAGAATACCACGAATCCCTGGAAAACTGTTTTGGAATCTACACTCAAAATGCAGGTTGTTGACAAACCGCCATGCATGAAATCACACTAATTCTTAGACGATATTTAGATGTAAACGCCACTTATACACTATTATTAAACGTTATTTTGTTTCTACTTTCATATTTACTACGTTTTTTGGTGTGAGAATACATTATACACATCTAAAAACGATTTTTACTCAATTAAGGCCATTTACGACGTTTGCGGGATATTGCGCTCTTCTAAATAAATCGACATTTCTAAAAAACGCAACACTGCCTTTAATATTTCTTTTATGTTTTTAATTCTTTTAAACTTGTACTTAATTATCATAGATATTGGACTCATGAAATGGTGTCAGTTTGCGAGTGATTGACAATCATTCGTAAATTTCGACACATTTCATGAGTTAGGTCACCTACTGTAGTTGACAGACAACGGCTAAGGCTTCAGTGAGTGGCAATGTGTCTTTGGGTTGCATCAAACGCGTGACGAATTGTTGCCTGGGGTCGATGGGTAATGCCTAGTCTGGCGGTTTGTAACAGTCTGGCATACTTTTTCCGCAAAGTCTGCTGGAACCTGTCTGCTGACGTGCCCTCTTCCCGGTTCTCAGTCCACTCCCCTTTCTTACAACACCACACCTCTACGGTACACTTCACGCGCGTTAGCGGTCCCGTCAACGCAAATCACGTTCATGCTGTAGCGGCCGAAGACGTTAAGGATAGCACACACCAGGTAACGTGGAGCGCTAGACATAACTCTTGACTGATACTGATCTGAAGGGAGTTGGCAAACGGGTCAGCGATTTCATCCAAGCTGGGAGTAGGAAAAGTCAAATGGTACGAAAAATACAGTGCGTGACCGATCTCATGAAAATATTGGGCGATATCCTGGAATACGTTTTCGATTAGGAAGGATTACTTAGGTGTGGTTGAAGGATTTATTAGCATGCAGCATAATCCTTTAGTATTTCGGACTCGCCACGATGTCGGCTTTTGATCGCACTTCTTTTTGGCCTCCTGCAGAAACTACACTCGGCAAAAAATGACTACTTAACTAGCATGCATTTTTCACACTAATTTTCGATGGTCCTATAAACTCATGTACATGCAAATTCACAAACATAAGCCGTCTTCTAATCATATGGTGGAAAATCACATTGTATTCATATTTTACAGCCGAAAAAAGTGTATATTTAGGTCTTCAAAGATTTTTCCAATTCCCGAATAATTTTCAGTCTGGTCTGTCATTTGATTAAGCGTTTAGTGATTACAGTATACAAGGTGCATGCTTTCGGCGTAAGGAAAATCATACATTCCTCTGTGCTTTAAAGAAGATCCCGTATAGAGTTCATAAAATTTCGCAAGTAATCCGGACTGTATTGCACATATCATGAGGATCATTGGTAAACGGACATGTGCGGTCCTGTATGCATGGATGCCGCACGGTCTTAGAAATCTAATAATTGGAAACTTATTTAAAACCTGAATATACACTTCCTTCGGGTATAGAATATGAAGACAATGTGATTTACCACCAAACGAGTAGAAGAAGCCATATTTATGTGCATGTTTTATATAAACTATATTCGAATTCATAAGACCATCGAAAATAAAAAGGAGAAATGCATGCTTATTAAGTAGTCATCTTTTAGCGAGTGTGGTTTCTGCAGGAGGCCGAAAAGAAGTGCATACAAAAGCCGACATCCTGACGAGCCCGAAATACTACAGGATTTTGCTGCATGCTAATCAACCTTACAACCCCACTTAAGCAATCCTTCCTAATCGAAAACGCATTCCAGAATTTCGGCTAACATTTCATGAGATCGGTCACGCACTGCATATTCAGTGGAAGCAACACATAGAAAAATGTTAAATTATACAAAGGTGGATAGGAGCTTCAACAGGAGGGATGACCCGTCTGGATGTGGAGATGGTTCCAACATATCGGTTAGACAACCGGTGGGGAATCTAGCGCTGTCGACAACTGCGGGGGGGGGAAAGTGCCGACGTGAAGCTGGAAATACGAAACGGTAACTACGATAACGGCGGTAAGGCGGTCGGCGGGGATGTGAGGACAAAACACCGGGTATTTTCACCGCCTTGCGGTCATACCAGCTCCCGCCTGGATCAGCGCTCAAAAAGTGTCACTCCATTCTAACAACTCTGTACAGTTCAAGGGACGTTACAAGGCTGATCGATATGTTTCTCTTTACTGACTCTTGCTCCCCAATTACCGCCTAAGCTCTTGCGCAGACTGAACAACACATGACAAACTGGAGGGATGTTAATGAATCACTAGGGCAAGCTGGCGTTAGATGAGCTGGACCAGTGGATCAGTATGCGGCAGGTGTTATCGGGAATGCGCCACCATAGCAAACGTCAACTTGGAGGTGTGATGGCACACCTGGTTGCCGGTTCACTCCCGGCCACCCCCTATTTACAGTAGGTGGGCTAACTCATGGAATGTCAACCGAAATTCCGAAATGGGTTTTCGTTTCGAAAAGATTAATTAAGTAGGTTTGTAAAATTAGTCAGCCTGCAACATACTTCTGTAATATTTCTGTTACCTCAGGATGCCGGCATGTGAACGAACTTCCTTCCCGCTGCATAAAAAACTACGTTCTGAAAAATATGACTACTTAAGTAGCATGAATTTTTCTCCTTGATTTTTGCTGCCCCTAATAGTCCAATTATATTTCATGGAAAATATGCCTAAAAATACTCATTCTTTTGCTCGTTCGGTAGACAATTACGTCTTCTTCCAATGTTATACTCGGAAAGAGGGTATAATTCGGTTTTCAAAAATTTTTCCAATTCCCGAAAAATTTTGAACTGGCTCTACCGTTACACTTAGATTTGGGGATTCCAAACTACAAGCCGTATATTTTCCGCGTACGGAAAACCACGCATTTCTCTATGGTATTAAGAGGAGACCATATGAGGTTCATAAAATTTAGCATTGGATTTGATCCATATTGTTAACTTTACAAGCCCCATCGGTAAATGTAGAGACATGATTTATGAACGGCCTTTCCGCGTTATTTAAAAGTCGCACAATAAGAAACTTTTCTAAAACCGAATTATGTCCCTCCTTCGAATATAAAATCAGAAGAAGTAATTTTCTACTGAATGAGGAAAAGAATGAATATTTTTATGCATGCTTTCCATGAAATATAATTGGACTTTTAGGGGCATCGAAAATCTATGAGAAAAATGCATGCTCCGTAAGTAGTCATTTTTTGTAGAGTGTTCTTTTTTATGCAGCCGGAAGGAAGTTCGTTCGAAAGTTGGCATCCTGAGGTTACTAAAATATTGTAGAATCATGTTGCAGGCTGACTAATTTTACAAACCTACGTAATTAATCTTCTCGAAACGAAAATGCATTTCGGAATTTCGGTTGACATTTCGTGAGTTAGGCCACCTACTGTACTGATCACCATGCAGCATAATTCCATGATAATTTAGTTGCTTTAGGATGCCAGCTTTCGACATAATTCTTTTCCCGCCACCTGCAAAATTTCACTCTGAAAAATGACTACTTAAGTAGTATATATTTCCTCCTTGGTTTTAGATGCCCTAATAAATTCAAATACATCTCATAGAAAACATGCATCTAGATATTCATTCTTTTTCTCATTTGGTAGAAAATTACGCTGCTCGTAAACCAAACATTTCTCCACCGTCTCAAGAGGAGACCATATGGGTTTCATGAAATTTAGCAGTGGATTGGAGCCATATTGTAAACTTTACAAGCAACATTTGTAAATACAGAGGCACGATGTTTTTTGAACGGGCTTTTCATGCACTTAAAAATTCTCGTAATTAGAAACTTTCCAAAACCGAATTATACCCTTCCTTTTGGCATAAAATTTGAAGAAGACGTAATTGTCTACCAAATGAATAACAAAATGGGCTAGATCGCATTTGGTAGTCAGGAATGGGAAGCGGACGTCGACCTTAACCCTAATCCTAATCTTATTCCTAACCCTAACCTTAAACTCAAACGTTAACCGTTAACCATAACAGCATCCCTAACCCTAACCTAAATCGTAAATGTAACCGTAGCCCTTAGAGAACCGTAACTGGAAAACCTAACCGTAATACTGAAACCTAATCTTACGCTCAAACCCTAACCGTAACCGGAAAACCTAAGCCTAAATGCATAAACCTAGCCCAAAAATCGGAAACCATTAACCGGTACCCTAATCCAAACCTCAAACGTGAAACGAAAACCAACTGGCTCAGTTGTGATTATGGAGCCCCACAAAATAGCCCCAGTAACCAACCCTCCCCCGCCACCTGTAATACGGGGCCTGGCTACCAACTGCGATCTAGCCACAAATGAATATCTAGATGCATGTTTTCTATGAGATATATTTGAATTTGTATGGGCATCGAAAACTAATGAGAGAACTCCATACTACTTATGCAGTCACTTTTTGCAGATTGTAGTTTTTGCAGGTTGCCGCAAAGGAATTCGTTTAAAAGCCAACATCCCGAAGTAAGTGAATCATCGTGGGATTATGTTGCATGGTGATTAATATTACAAACCTACGTAAGTAGTCTTTTCCAGTCGAAAACGCATTTCAGAACTTCTGTTAGCAATTCATTTTGGTGCACATCCACTGTGCAATCCCACCTAAGTAATACAGTTCGGAGCTTCAGTCAGAATTTCATTTGATTGGTCTCTGAGCGTATGTAACTTTTGTCTTTTTTGGCGAAACCATTGTCGTCATGATTGCTTGCTTACGCTACATCATATCCATATACGTACTAAAATCGTTCCAAAGTTCATTCCATTTTCGTGTTTAGCCTTTAAATTACTTACTAGCAGACAGTAGACTGGACAAAATGCATTTAGCCACATGCTAAAAAGTTAAGAATTACCGCTTGATATTGGACCTTTTGGGATTACTTCTGGAATATTCACCCATGGTTGAAAACAAAGGGTATTGTAAAACGAAATGACTGTAAATAATCTTATTCACATTTCGCTTTTTCTAAATTACACTCTGCAAAATCAAGTTTCGATTTGAAAACCCTGGCTTATAAAAATCTCTGATAATTCATTCGACCCGTTTGGGAAGACGGTTAATTTAATTAGATCTGGATCAAAGCCACCTTAAGAGAAAAAAGCACACACTACAGCGCAAATGTGATCTACGGTGGTCTAAGCCTCCAAAACGGGCCGCGCTCTAAATGCACTGGACCAACACGAGGGACATATCGGATTCGGGCAGGCGTTATCGGAATTGCGCGCCATAACAGATGCCAACATTTCGGGGTGGTGCGGTGGCTGATCCAGTTGCCGGCAAAGGTCGCGCGCATTGCGAACTCTGTCACCCTCCCCCCCCCATTGTTTCTGTCAGTCAAAATCCCGGTCATATGCTGTGCGGACCAGGGACTGGTTAGTGGAGCGCCAAGTCGCGGGCTCGGCCGTGCCAGCCACTTGCTTCCTCCTCCTCCTCCTCCTCCTCCTCCTCCTCCTCCTCCTCCTCCTCCGGCCTTCTTAACTATGTCTTGACACCGGAGTGAGGTGGGGGAGGAGGAGAGAATGTGGTGGATGTTGTGCAAGTCTACTCTCACTATAAACTAACTCGCGCGCAAGTCACGGTGCTCGCTCTCACCTTGCTATGGAGCACACGGTGGACATCGTCGGCAACGACGGTCGAACGGTTGGTCTACAGGGATTATTAGCATAGGATATGAGTAACGAACTGTGGGCAAAGTTGTAGGCTATTTCGTCGACAAAATAAAATAAAAATGTGTTCTTGCAGAACAAATGACCTTCCGAAACCCCTTCAGCTGACTATAAAAGCGCAACACTTTCGAAGTAACCTGGGCAAATCATCTAGATTTTGATAATCACGTATCAAGTGTCGAGCCACCTAATGTGCTTCGTTTGTGGAAGGCTCAGGAGTACTGTACCGGGATTCCATTCACGTGTATTCCTGACCTTGGATTCGGGCATGGCTGGTTGCTGCCGTCTCCTTGTCCTTCGTAAGTCATTCTTTAAGAGTATCCACAGTCTTGTCCTACAACAGCGGCTGAATTCCACGGATGTCAACAGCCAGAGAGTTTTACTTGCCCTATTCTCGCCCACTGCACATTAGTGCTGAATGGAATAGAAGACGTCGGAAATAAAACGTACAGTAAAACGATAGTCAGCAATCCACAGTTCACCTCTACAGAGCAAAGTTCGCTCGACCCGACGGCATTTGCGAGCGCTCTCTGAAGAGTGTCGTGCTGTTTCTCGAGTCAAACAAGATGCCGCCTCGTGGCATGTAAGTAGTGGGCGGGGAGGGGGGGTTGGAGGAGGCATGTCGGAAAATGCAGAGTTCACTTACCAGAAAAGCAGTGTCACCACCTAGGTTGTCACCTTCAAAGTACATGTCAGTGATCTAAAGTGGACTGCACAACGCCGCCAGTCGGATCATTTACACCCAGATTCATGCAGCTCAGTGATGCGTGGTATTTGTGGTGAGGTCTTATTAGTCGGCACATTTGATGCGCCAGTCTACCTTCGTACCCACACCAACGGTCCTCAGAGTCTTCAAACATTGTGAGTGTTTTTGGGCATGTCTGAAGATAGAGTACATCATGGTAAATCACATTTTCGTCAGAGACACATCCATCTTGAGGAGGGTGACTTAGAGGAGCTCGAGGCAACGACTGTCTCACTTGACCACCCTAAGATCCGGAAACCCAACTGAAGAACAGGAAGGAAGGCCTTCAACTGACATGATGAAAGAGCCGTAATCATAGGTAAGGTTTGAGCATTCGGAATGCTGTGCATTAGTGATATGAGTAGTTTGTGGATGCCTGGGGACAGCGAGTTCAACGGCGGGTTGAGAGGGGTATAAGCGACATGATTAAAAGTGTTAGGTCATAGTGAGGATGGATGAGGATGGTGTAACTGTTGTTTGTGTTTATATGCCATCTTTACCACCGCAAGATCACTCTGCGGAAATGTGGTTTTGTGTCGCATGACACTGGTCCTGCAATAGAATCGGATTGTTGGGTCGGAGATGGGCAGGATTCGAGTGAGATTCTGGCACCGGATGCTAGGAGGAAGTAATCGTCGGTAACTTTATTTATTTTTACACAAAGACGCATAGATTTGAGCAAACTTGCTCACTTTGGATGGAGATTTCGACGGTGGATTTAACAGGCAAGGCTGTAAATCCACTGTGAGTGGTTCTTAATAATAGTTTCTGCTCACGATGTAAGAAGTGGAGGGCACAACGCCTCCTATTCAACTGCATACGGTCATTGCGCACTAGTAAGATCAGATAGGCTGTTCATTTAGATAATGGACCTAACCCCATTCCATCACTAGTCCTCTCATGTTCCCTCCGTGAATGTCTGAATTCTGTCTGGCGCCTTATAGTTTTAACCGACAGCGACAAATATTCACTGTAATCTGAATTTGCTTGCTTAACTAACTTCCCTCCTCCCTCACCCCCCGTCGCCATGCGCACCTGCATAACAGATCAACAGTCCATGTTTTATTTTATCTTTCACGTTTCACCCCTCTAGGTCGCTCTCTGATTGAACGGTCTTTATCTTATACTATTAATACGCAATGGCCGTACGCAGTTGAATAAGAGCTCACGAAATTTTATGACGTAATTTAATCCTGCATGTTTAATCGCCTTTGTTTGTTCAAATTTATACTGGAATAATAGTGCTTAGATTTTCTGATTAATTTTCATATTTCTCCAGTCATTCATTCGTTTTTTTAACAAGCAAGGTCTTTAGCTGAGCAACTGCAGGTTATTTGCTTGACAGGGAGGAGGGATGGCTTTTTTTCCCACTCTCGTTTCGACTGAGCTTCGGCGCTAAAATGTTACCGCATCCACATTTTAAGCAGACAGATTTTTTAGACCACCATAGTCGCCTTGTGTGCTCACAAAATTCACTCCGACACTGCTTATATATTATTTCCGGTCAAACGGCATGTGTCACTGATCGGCAACAGCTCGTCGATACGCAGGTGGAGTACCGTACCTTTGGCGGGTCGCGCAGGATTCAAGTGAGATTCTGTCACCGAAAGCGAGGTGAAAGTAATCGTAGGCAACTTTATGTATTTTTGCACATAGACACTTAGAGTTGGGCAAAATTACTCACTTTGGATGGCAGCGGATTTGACAGGAAGGTCGGCGTCTTTCTTAATAGTAGTTTCTGCACACGTTGTTAGAAGAGGAGTGCGTAACACCAGTCTTTCATGTTCAGATTGGTTAATTTTCGAACACGACAAAGGCGACCATACACGCAGAATTTGATGACATATCTGCTCCTGCGGAAGATAGCCGAACAAGCCCGCGAACAGAGCATGATACGCGACGCAGCACTGGAGAACAAATTTCGAAAGCTGCCCAATCCAACCTCGCCCAGAAACGACAAGCGGGTGCACAACCTGTCATCAAAGGAGCTGACGAAGGATCAGATGCAGGTTTTACGGCACGAAGCTTCATTTAACACGGCTGACGCCAAACCTGCCACGGCAAGAAACGTCTAGAGTCTTTTATCGGATCTGGTGCAGTTGCGGACAAAGCGACTACGTCGGAGAAACCGGAAGACAGCTCCGAACGCGAATGGCCGAACACGCTGCAGCGGTGCGCAGAAATGACGCCAACTCTCAAGTTGCGGTTCATTCGACGAGATCCGGCCACAAATTCAAATTCAATGAGGCCGAAATTCTCGCAAGAGGTGACAACCGCGTGAGCCGGGAGCTACTGGAATCATGGTTTACTGGCCCCCAGTCCATCAACAAGTGCAACGATCTTCCCACTCCATACCGCGTGCTAAAACTTCGCCTAGGCGGGGTAACAAGCCATGCGGGGAGCGCAGAGGTGAACACTTTTCCCAACACCGGGGTCGCTGCGTCAGATGGTCGAGCAATCATCACGCCAACATCCAACGCACGTGATGAAATTGCAGCAATGATCGACTCGAATGTCGGCCATCGAGCAGTGATCACACCAAGTGCGACGATCCCGGATGAAGGGGGGAGCCGTGAATGTTCATAGGTATGCGGTAGCATGGCTACTGCATCCTATAAATACCGCAGCCCCTTGTGCAGCAACCACCCGTTTCTGCTTTTTTGTCTCTGATGATGAATTCGAGTAGGAATCCGAAACGTCAGGCTAATAAAGCTCTTGTCCCGGCGATCGTGTCTCCTTCTTTAATGACCTCCTGTTCAGCTGCATATGGTCATTGCGCATTAATAAGATCAGATAAACTGTTCATTTAGGTAATGAACGCAACCTCATTCCATCACCAGGTAAAGGCAAGTTTTATTTACGTGAAGCGCAATGCCGACACCTAGGTGATCGAATTCAAAGTACATGTAAGTGATCTAAAGACTTCTGCGTAACCCTGCTAGTCGGATCATCTGCAACCAGATTAATGCAGCTAGATGAGGCGTGATATTTGTGCGGGGACCGTACTAGCCAGCATACTTTTAGACCTGAGTGTCAGTCTACCCGCACACCCAGGCATTGGTCCCCATTTGAACATGCCTGAAGATTGAGTGCATCATGGGTGATGATATCGTCTACATGGGCACACCCACCCCGCTGAGAGTGATATATTTCGACCAAGAGGAGCTTCCGGCAACATTTGCCTCAGCCATCCACTCTGGACTCTTCCCGTCGGGGAGAATTCCCCCGTCGAGCTCAGTGACTACTAATCTGCCTTCTTAGCGCGTCGATGCAGATTCAGGTTTATGTATGTGTCCTAGCGGAGGATATTCCAAAGTCGTCCTCAATCCCTCCTACGCAGAATTTGGCTGTCCGAACCTATGAACCATCTGGTGAGGGGACTGGCGACTGTAGTTGACGAGGTATGAAACCCTACGACTAGGCATGCCATTCCACCCCCTTCGTGTACAGCAGGGTGTCCCCCTAACGGGCCACATGGTAGATGTGCTGGACCAACACGGGGGGGGCCACATTGCGCGTTATGGGGGTTGCGCACCGTAACAAATGCTAACATTTCGGAGTGCAATGGCGGCCTCGGTTGCCGGCGTACCTCGCGCGCACTGGAGCTCTGTTACCCTCCACTGTTGTTGTGAGTCAAAAACCTGGTTATTTGCTGTGTGGACCAGGGGGTGTGGAGTGGAACGCCAAGGCGCGGGCTCGACCGTGCCATCCACCTGCGTCCTCCCCCGCCGTCGGTCATTTCGACTCTGTCTTGACACCGGGTTCAAGTGAGGGAGGAGGAGAGAGTGCGGTAGCTGCTGTGCAAGTCCACTATCACCATAAACTAAATTTTCGCACAAGTCACCGTCCCTGCTCCCATCCTGTTGTGGAGAACACGTTGGACATCGTCGGAGGCAACGGTCGAAATTTCGTACAGTAGTGATTACGGACTGACGCAGGCTCTTCGCATCTTAGCTAATGCTGGCTCTGAGGCAATCTGATCTTCCTTTTGGTCGGGCGCGTCTAAAATGCAACGCCCTGTGGCTAGGGAGACTCCTGGTACAAACATACATACAGACGCCTACTGAACACACATTCGATTGATCCCTGGGCTCAGTTTGCTCATGGCGAAGGTGAGTTTGATTGTTTTGTCTGACGACGTTGGTAGTTGCACCGACTGCCTATACAGCCTGTGAGAGAAAACAGAGTATATAACCCTCTTTTGAAATGAACGACATTATAGGTAAATAAAAGGCTGCATCAACAGATCTGGGTATGGCTGATGTCGGCAGGTAATGCGCGGGTGCAGCTTCTTTGAAGATCGTGTGGACGAGGTCAGCAGACGGCGTTAGGAAAAAGCGCGGAGGAGACAAAGGATGGTAGTCAGTCTCACTTGGTCAAGTAATTAGTTTCGGTGCGCTAAAGCAGATGACTGGTAATGGGCTAGTGATGATGGTGGTGGTAGTGGTGGTAGTGGTGGTGGTGGTGGTGGTGGTGGTGGTGGTGGTGGTGGTGGTGGTGGTGGTGGAGACTGTGCAGTTTTTTGAAACCTCGGTGATAGCCTGCCTTTGTGCCGTCGTGGTCGCCTGAATGGGCAGAGAGCAGTCTCTCGCGGCGGATCAAAAGACAGCATGGGCTAGACTGAGACCCGCACAAAATCGTCTTCCGTTGCATATTTTTCTACAACCATAAAGACCTATTTAGGCCAGCAGATAGAGGCTGATTATTGGGAAGAGGGAGTTTTTTTGGGACGAAACAGACCCGGAAGTAATTAGGATGGAAAAAACTGCTTAATGAGAGGGAGATACCTCAGGCGAAGTCGACGCGTTCATTGAGAAAGTAGGAATTTACTAGTATCAGCATGACTAGAAACAGCTCATTGTTTGGTAACTTTCACGAGTAAATGTGCGATGAAAATTCGGATACACCTTGAGATAACAAAGGGATGGGTTGTTAAATGGAGAGGTGGGCGCAATTAAAGGACACACAAAATCAATAAATTTTACATTCTCCTTGCTCACAAGTAGTATGGGTTCCTGCTCATGAAACGTAGGGGCAAAAACCCGTCAGACAGTCGGCTTATGTTCGTGTATGCGCGATCCGAGCACGCGCTCACTCTGACCCTCGTAATAACAAGAACAGTTTGCACACGGAATGTCTGCCTGAGACTCTGAATAACCGCCTGACTAGTGCCCACGTTCGTGCTAGGGCGGGATTGATTGAGTTTGTGCGGCGTCCGTTCTGTCTGACTTCTCGTATACCTCGCCGTCAGTTGAGTTGATTGGTGGACCCCCCGTCGGGTTGAGTTTGACACGGTTCTCTTTAAGCCATTTGCGACCATCCTATCCTGGTCTCTATGCGGTAATGGCGCAAAACTGATAAGTCGTCGACGATTGATTGAGTATAAGCTTGTAAGCAAAGCGCCTCGTAAAAACGGACAGATACTAAAGCACTTTATTCATCGAAGATTCAGCTCTCCATAGGTACTTGAAACTTTCTAAATTTTAACGATAAAATTTAGTAATGTAGCCCCACCTGATGGACACAATACTGTTGGGGGTGGGGTTATGGGGGTTAGGGTTAAGGGTTATGATTAGGGGTTAGGCGTCAGAGCAACTATTTCTCAACCACTCAATGTACAACCACGCATTCCCAATAGGTTTTCTTTGGCATACAACTACCTGACCTCGTCGCATGTGCTTTCCCCGACCCCACCTGCAAAAACCCCTATTATCTCCTGCCCCGTATTTCAGGTGGTTGGGGTTTGTTTACTTTAGGCGGGGGCGCATAACCACATCTGACCATTGGAACATGTATTTCAAATTTGGCGTAATACTAAGCTGACTGCGAGAGCTGTTAGCATCGGCGTTGACATGCATTTTTTAACCGTTTGCCAGAACAGCGCTCCCAGTATTAGCCTTAGTAAATCATAGTTAAAACCTGGAATAGAATCAGCGAATTAATTGTTCGAACCACGAAAATGAACTAATCACAAAAACAAATTCTTACTTTCTTAAGTACCCTCCAATCCGGCAAACGCAGAATGCAGGAAAAACCGCATGCCTTAGAGGGCGGAAAATGGCTGAAATTATGTCCGTTTAGAGACTGGTTTAACATCACGTGAAGTAAGTTTTAATTTCTGATATTGTTTGCATAATGGGATTTAGGGAGACAATAAAGTTCCCTTTCTCACAGTGAACCGAAACAAAGACAAAATTCTAGACCACCCTGTAGGCGACGAAGACACAAACAGAGCTCAGTGTGATTTGCTTTGGCGGGGAATTCAGTCAGCAAAGCGTTTAGGCTGCCTTCGCTAAATGGGAGACCTTAGTAGATGGAGAGTAAACTTCCGAGGCGATAGACGCGGCCTTTCCATTGCGCAAAAAATCGCACTAGTTGGCATTCTTTCGCAGCGCAATGATCCCCCCACGCGGCCGCACAGCGACGAGTAGTATAGACAGAATAAGACTATTGACAAAGAGAAGCGAGACTGGAGTGACCGTCTCCGACTTATTAGCCGTCGTCAGCCAGTCGACGTAGCCAATATTCTCGATCAGCAACGACAGGAAAATGGATCCGCGGCTCAGTTCGTAGAGCTTTCAAGTCCATAACCAAAGATCCCGGGTTCAAATCCCAGGCGTTCAAAACCTAGGGTTCGGTAAGGATGACTGATGATGGCTTACAACTCAAATAGGGCCATTCCAGTCTCCCTTGACTTTGTCGGTAGCACCTAATCTACCCATACATATATATGTGCGATGCCTGTAATGCCGTATATTGTGGCCAAACGGGGAAATTAACCTCTACACGCAACCACGAACATCAACTGGCAGTTAAGAGGCGAGATCACCTGTCTCAGATGGCCGTGCACACTCTTGATACTGGGCACACCTTCACATGGGACAAAACTCGCATCATCGGAGTTTGTCCATCTAAAAAAAGGCCGAGGGTTTCTTGAAGCCATGCACCAATAGGCACATCGAGCTAGATGCCACTTACAAAATTCTCAGGGAATAGTAGAAGAGGCGAAAGCCAATCGATGCAGACTGACACACACGGCGGCCGCTTACCGGCTGAAATCCGAATGAATATTGATTTCTCAGCAGGTTTGAAAAGTTGATTGTTTTTGCACATTTACTCAAGTCTGACGACTACACGGGGACCGACCTCGAAAATTTACTCAGTAAAGTTTTCTACTTTTCCCACAGAAGGTATTTGCTTTCAAATTATATTTCTTAGGACGCCTACGTTCCAATTCATACATATATGGCAAAGATACTATACCATACTCTCGACATAGGTACCATCTATAAGCCAGACATGTGTTTTACCGATATTCTGCCGCTGCGTGACACAGATGCGGTGGGTTCGGCTACTCACTGGGTCCGCCAGCGTTCTCCATGCGGCATCTGGTATATAAAACTCAGAACTTCAGAAATTATTCAATGCAGGGCATGGAGTTAAGTCTCCGGGACATGACTTCCGCTCTAAAGTTCCTATGCAGACTGGTCGGTCGACTGGTGAGGATATTAGGTGCAGCTGCTTATTTGGCATGAAGTCCCCGTCTAACGTGTGCCACACGCAAGTACCTGAATAAGGTGCACTAGTAATTTGCACGTGGGTTAATTACATAGAATTAGAGAAGGTCATTCATGTTAGACCCCACTCTATCCGATCTGTGAAAGTATGTCATTCCGCCCCCACATGAGATTGTCAACCGGCCCCTGACAAGAACTGCCGCGTTGTGACTGGTGCACTTGCCCGGGGTCCCTGAAATGCGATTGACACGAGCTGTCGAACACTTCTCCGCATTACTTCGGTAACTGAAAACATGGTTTCTCTTTTTTTCTTTTCGTGCTGACTAAGGATAGTTTCTGGCAATGCAATTACGCAGGAGAAACTGGAAGACTGTTCCGGACGCAAAGAGCCAAACAACTGGCATCAGTGCGGAGAAATGACGTCAGCTCGCAGGAGGTCACTCCTCATTCAACTGGACCCAGCCACACATTCAAGTTCGAGAAGGCTAAAATTCTGGCCAGGGGGGATAATCGCGAGAGCCACGAACTGCTTGAGTCATGGTTCACTGGTCCCCCAGTCTACTGGTGCGCGCAGGCGAACACTGTTTACAATTTTCAGTGGCAGTGGACCAGATGGTCGAGTAATAATCACGTCAACATTCAACACGGTTGATGAGATTGCGAAGCCTGACGTCCCAAATGCCGGTCATCATGCCATCATCGCACCGACGGTCAAAAGACCTGAAAGCGTGTGCTATTCCAGTATCAGCAAATCATGGCCCTCGCAGCCTGGTATGCGCTGGCAGTTCCCTGACACCTGGTTCGCTTGCGATACCGCTAGGTACACAGGTGGTGGGCACGACTGCTTAGCCATCCTCGTCTCTTTGGCTCCTGTTGGAGTGTTGTTGTTGATGAAGAATCCTAGTCAAGTGTATGTTGTGGACCAGGGGGTGTGATGGCACGCCTAGGTGCAGGTCTGGACGTGACAGCCACCTGCGCCATCCCCCGTCTCCAGTCTTCTTGAATTTGTCTTGACACCGGGTCCAGGTGAGGAGTGAGGAAGAGAGAGTGTGGTAGATTCAGCGCAAGTCTACTACCACTATAAATTAATTCACGCACAAGTCACCGCGCCTGGTGCACCTTTGTGTGTAGCACACAGTGAACATCGTCGGAATCGACGGTCGAACTGTCATAGCATTGACGGTAAACCGTCCTCGATGAAGTGGGGGTGGGGTGGGGTGGGGCGGGGGAGCGGTTAGTCTTTAGAGGCATGTAGTAGTATAGCGACTGCATCCTGTAAGTACTGCAAACTGTGCATGCATAGCTCGTACCTGATAATGCTTCTGACGATGCGTCCGAGCATGAATCCGAAATGTCAGACGAATAAAGCTCTTGCTCCAACGATCGCGTCTACTTTTCCTCCACTAAAGCCGACGTTTAACGGCCACAGCCCCCGAGGGAAATGGGCTACTCGCAATATTTGCCCAATTTAATATTAATGGAAGCCGTACCTTGTGCCTACGTTGAACCACCATATTTGAGGTTTCTTGGCTAAAAATTTCGTCATTTGAAAACCAAAGTGCAATCTCTCTCTCTCGCTCTCTATCCTAACCACACATTTTTTTGCCCACATACGCACAGGTTTTGGTGAAATTTACCGGCTACCCTCACACCCTGTCATGTCCTCAGGCAAGTCAGTTTCGAGACGCTGCAGCGATGCATCTGGCAAGGCTTCCAGGAGGCATTTAGAGGGGTACAACAGTAGAAAGTGGGAAGTCCTCGCAAAATACTTCCTACTGCGCACATTCATGCGTTCGTAAGGGCAGAAAGTCATGCGAAGTTATCTCTCTCTCCCCCTCTCACACACCAGACCACATCATAGCTGTTTTGGTCTAGCTTTCGTGTATAGCTCCGGTGTCCTGAATTTTTGTTTATGCCTTTGCGCTTATTTTTCAGGCCGTCGTAGGCCTGTGTAGAGGTGTTTATGCTCCTCAGTCGGTCATGCGAATACTCCCCCCGCGCGTCTGTGTCATTGACGTAGCGCTACTCGCGTCTTCGCTATCCCAAAAACATCATAAAAAAAGAAATTCGATGACTCGGACTGTTGATCTGCGAGTCGGAAGCCTAATAAGAGGGTAGTTTGATTTACGTGCGGAGGGCATTTTCATCCGTTTCAGGGGATGACTCTTTCTTGGTTCTTTGAAGGAAATTCGCATTTGCTGCGCCCACCTACCTTTCCCCCCTCCCCGTACGCAGATGATGACTACTCAGCTACCAGCGCAGTAATGACTGGGGGCACTAAACGCACTTTCCTTGTCGGGAAATATGTGGCCAGCCTCACGGAGTAAATAAGCTTTCCGCGCTAGACATAAGGTCAGGCGAGGAAGATAAATGATTCCACGGTGTCTGCCTAAAGTAAAAAGTACTAGTCACTCGCCAGAAGTCCAAAACAGCTTCGGCCTCCAAAGTACTGGTAGTTTAAGTGGTTGGTGCGGTGTTAACTCTTCCGAACGCAGAAAGTGAAGGTGAGAGGGTGAGACCCAACAATCGAGTTGGGAAAGGACGCGACTTGATTCTAGGTTCGTCATGGCCGAGGGCACACAGTTAATCGGCATAGTGTTATCCTATTAATCCGCCTCTACGCTCCGGCATCAGTCATCTGGGTAAAATGGTGAGATGGCGACCTGACTTGACTTGTAAAGCCTAGTAGAGGTATTTAGTTAGCGGCAAGCCGTGCAAATGTGATAGGTCGGACCACGTACCCGGTTCAGGTTGTGGCTGCTTCGTACGCCCCTAGGTTGGCACTCAACCCTCACCTTTGGCTCCCCGAAGCTAGGCTCGGCCTAGCATCCGTACCCCGATAACCACCTCGACTGGCGGACTAAATCAGGTAAGGGTATCCGGTGTTGTGTGCGTGTGTGCCCAGTCCCGGTAATTCTGCTTCCCCTCCCTTCCACTTCAAAAAAATCCTATGGAAAAGGCAACATGCGATCCCGTAGGTAGTTCAAACTAACCTGAGTTGCTCTCCAACAAACAAAGCCATGGCCCATGGTGGCGTTCGACAGTCGTCTGAGAAGGAAGGGGAGGGGACTGGAAAAGGTGCTCGAAACGAATGTTGGGAAATCATGCCACCTACATACTGTGGCTCGTAGATGTGAAACTCGCGGTCAAGACAAGCAAACGATAAACAACAATTCCCTCCTTTAATACCCATCTTCCTCCATCCCAACCCACAGACTATTAGGGTTAGTCAGTTCACTCCGGCAGCCTGGTACGATCGTTATCTTTTAGACCCTCCAAGGAGCACCCGGCTGCAAAGGAGGATGCCATTACTTACTCGAGGGCTGGCGCGCTTCAAGGTGAACATCGTTCCTTTCAGCTAGATCCCACTCTCCGAGCACGGCAGCTGGAGGAAGTGGGTACCGGTTACTCCCTATTCTGGGGCGACTGCCTAAAGGCAGAGCACCGTGACGCCGGAACGACATCGTGTGACGACCCCTCTGTCTACCGCAGGGAAGTAACAATCATCTCATTACCCTGCACCTGTCCCTTCGATGAACCCAACTCGGCGACGTTGTCAGCGCCTATGCCACACCCTCGCTCAAATGATCAGCTCTGACAAGGCGAGGAACAAGTTCTACGAAGACCTACACGCCCTTCTACCGTCTGTGCCGACTGGCGGACAAGCTGGACGTCCTTGGTGAATCTAATGTCAGCGTTGGGACAGATCACGCAGTCTTGGAGGGAGTGCCGGGTCCCCATGGATTCGGCGACTGCAGCGATAACGGGCTCCTTCTTCTGCAAACCTGCGCGGAGCATCGCCTTCGGCTGACCAATATCTTCTTCTGCTTCCCGACAGGGGAGAAGGTAGCCTAGATGCACCCCCGAGCGCGGCGCGGGCAACTGCTGAACTGCGTTCTCATCGAAAGACGAGGTCGGCGGGAAGTTCTGTTGAAAAAACCGATCTACAACGACGATGGGTTGACGGATCACGGCCTCGTCATCTGCAAGACCATGCTGTGCTTGCAACCCCGCAGGAGACCACAAGGTAAGCTAAACAGTCCTCTGTTTAATTTGTTCGTTTTCCGGTTAGATTTCAGAAACCAGTTGGCTTAGTGTCTAGAAGAACTGCAGACTCGGGACGACAACGCCACGATGGAGATATAATGGCGCCAACTGCGGGATGCCATGCGTTCCGCCGCCCTGGACGTCCTCGGTCGCTCCCGTCGTCGACACGAGGACTGGTCTGATGACTTTGACGATGAAAAAATCTGCAGCCTACTTGGCAATAAGCACGGACTGCACAAAGCCTACATCGACTGCCGGACCAACACCAACGAGGCGGCCTTGTTCAGATGTCGCTGCTCGGTGCAGAAATGGTTGCGGGAGATGCAGGATGCCTGGATGTATTGTAAGATCGAGAAAATTCAAGGGTATGAAGAATGTCTTCGTCTCCATCAAGGAAGTCTATGGCATCCCCAGCAACGTGATCGGGCTGCTTCTCAGCTCCGAGATAACAACGTTTCTGATGGAGGAATCGCCGATTCCGAAGCACTGTGTCAATCACTTCAGAAACATTTTCAATCGACCGGCGCAAATCTTCGCCACCGCCATCGATCAGTTCCCCAAGTGGAAACAAACGGCGACTTAGACGTTCCATCTCGCTGGTCAACACTACCGGGGGATCTTCGCTCGCATCGTTCTTAACTCTCTGAACAACCAGCTGTTCTGCGGTAAACCACCGCTGGCCAAACCTTATCGCAGCATATATTTTCATCAGCACTTAATCACATAAGGACTCGTTCCACATCACTCACCCCACAGACACGGAATAGGCACTTCTTACGCAAGTGGGAAGCGTGTTCTTCGCCTCCTTCTTCATGTGACCACTGTGGCACTCGAACACATGTGCGATCCCAGCGACATACCCCCTTTGTTTGAAATCCTGGTTTGTCGCGTGTATGCGTGTGGGAGGGTACCCCCCCTCCCCCCCCCCCAAAGGGGCAACGTGGTAGATGCACTGGACCAACACGCGGGCCATATCGGATTCTGGCGGGCGTTACCGGATTGTGCGCCATAACAAATGTTAACATTTCTGGGTGCGATTACAGACCCGATTGCCGGCAGACGTCGCGCACACTGGCACCCCTGCCGCCCTCCCCCATTGTTGTTGCTGGTCAAAAACCAGGTCATTTGCTGTGTGAGCCACTGTCGCCCCCTGCCCGCCTCTGGTCTTCTTGACTCTGTCTTGACACGGGGTCCAGGTGGGGGAGGAGGAGAGAGTGCTGTAGATGCTGTGTAAGGCTATTATCACTATAAATTAACTCACACACAAAGGCATCGTCCCTGTTTACCTATGCTGTGCATCACATGGTAAACATCGTCGGCTACGTCGGCCGAACTATCCGGGCAGATCATGTATGCGGCACGCGCAGACGACCTCGCCTGTTCTGTCAGCCACTACGCCCAGCACCCACATCAGACAACTGACCGACTCGGGGAGTGTACCGGTTCACGGGATAGGGTAGAAAGAGTGAAGCCGGCTCTCATGAACAGTCTGAGGCGTTTGAAACTCTCCCGGTGCGCTTAAAACCGTGGCCTGGAAGACTGCCAGCGGAC